ATATTTACTTAAGTCTATTGTCAGATTGCACCTGACTGTGGAACTGGGTTTAAAACACCTGGGGAACAATTTACATATTATGTCAACAACATCATCTCTCCCCCTCCCCTTCCCCCTTTCCCACCTGCAGTGCAGAGCAAGCCCACTTCATAGCATCCTTCACAGCAGAATGGGTCTCCACTGCGTCTTTTTGTCTTCATTTAATTCTGGTACTTTAATACGTATTCCTTCCCCTGCTGCAGGTGCTATTGCAAATAAGAAGTGTGGCCAGGGAACATTGTCTCCTTGGAAACCTCCTTCTGGCCTGAAAAGCCTGGTTTGGTGCCTGCATGGCACCGGCAAGCCAGAGACCTCATGGGCCCAGCACCTTTCATGGCTGGGCTGCTTTCACTCCAGGTCCCTTGGTGAACAGAGGAATAAGCTGGGCTATTGCACCAGCACGATTTAATGGAGGGGAAAAAAAAAAAAAAAAAAAGATGGTCTGGGAGTGCAACAGGTTGCTGAGAGAAACCTGAGGGCAGCGTCCTTCCCTCGGAGGGAGGCTGGGGCAGGAGGTGATGCTGCCCGGGGGCAGCGCTCTGTGATGGTGCGGTCTGGGAGCAGCGTGGGGAGCTCTCCTCTCCATTAAGTAGCCTGCAGATTTTTGAATAATTGTAAACAATGCTGACTTCAAGGCTGCTGCCAGAGCCTCAGGCTCTTTAAGAAATAACCCCTACTCATTTATTGCCTGAGGATATTATTTCTGGAATGAACTAGTTGTGGATCACAATACCGGCAGTATTATAGTACAAAGTGTGTTTTAGTGCAAACCTGCTCATGAAATAGCCACAAATCTTCTTTGGACAGAAACGGGCCCAAAGCCCCAACCTTTTGTGTAGAAAAGTGCCTGCAGCTCATTTCTGCATCATCTTCATCTTGGGACCAGTCTGGACGGGGCTGGCTCTGGTGTGTCTGGTGATGGCATGGTACAGCTCTGCCTTGCTGCTGAGGCCCCGGGGAGGTCAAGTTCAGCTGAGGAGAAGCTTAGCAGGGGGTACACCAGCTGTGTCCCCCACCCCGGCCGTGCCAGCCGTGGGGAGGCTCTGTGGATTAGGAGCTCCTCACATGGCTCTGGAGATCACTCTTACATCTGATACGATACACAAAATGATCCCGCTTCGCTGAAGGCTCAACTCTGTACCTCTAAAGTGAAATTTCTCTAGACAATCTAAAGATTTGGTTCTAAGAAAGAAGTAATTAATATATACACATACTGCCTTGAGCATACTTTCCCTTAAAAGACTGCTGCCATCTTTTGTATCATAAAAAGATGGATATGAACATGTTTTGTGCTAGAAACAGTACTGTACTAAAGCACAGAGTTCAGTCACTATATACTGGTAATCACTATATTCCTCACTAAAAGTGATGCAGCACATGATTTAATAAGAATGAAGCTCAGAGTTTCTAATTAGCTACTTCATCTAAGGCCTTTCAATAAATATGTAAGTAGAGATACATGTATGTTCTTAATACTAGTTCAAGTGTGAAGTGATTCGGTCTTTGGTCTTTCTACTTTTGTGAATCATACTGCAATAGCAGCTTTTAAAAAAAGGTATTTTTAATTTAAATTGGTCTAGGCAAACGCCACACTAAATGTAGTGAACATATGCAGTACATAAGAGCAAGGTGGGAAAAGGATTATCAAAATAGCTGAAATAATGTTGTAAATGGCATATACTGCATGTCTATATGGTTTAACAGTCATTCCTATCCTGTCAGATCTCTGTGGAAGTAGCCACACACTTAAGGATAACTTGGTCAAGTTACTTGGTGCATTTACTCCTGTTTAGAGCAGGTCTGGGCTTTAATTCAGGTCTGGGCTTTTTATCTTTAATGAAAGCTGAAAGGTGCAAGTGCTTAGAACAGCTGTACCCTAGCATGACCTATTCTACGGACAGTCACCTTGAACCAACACTTTGAAATAAGCCTTGCTATTAACTTGAACAGGAGGTGAGCTAGGCATCTGTGAAGAAAGAGGCATTCTCTTTTTCTGCCTGTTGCAAATTATTCCACAGTTAGGCTTGTCTCAGCTAAGTGTGTAAACCTGAGCTGCGTTCTGGAATTATTTTGCCCACTTCCAGGTTACAATGGCACTTTTCAGTTGGGCTTTTTCTTTGTTTATTTGATTGGTTTTGGTGTCTGTCCACGGAATGAAGGTGCTTAGCTGCAGGGCAAAGCTTCAGAGCTCCCTGGGTATGACAGTGAATGGGATGACAGGACTGCTGGATTCGAGGTCCAGAGCTGTGAGGAAACATTCGATGGCTGCTTCGTTTTTCCCCTGAGCTTGCAAGACCTCTCCAAGGCTGTTCCAGGCCCTGTGACTGGTGGTCTGGATACGGATGGCATCTCGGAGGACTTTCTGGGCCAGGTCCCTCCGCCCAAGCCTGCTCAGCACCAGGCCCTGTCAACAAACAAGTGATGAGCAGTTAACAAAAGCACAAAACAGAGGAAGAAACAGAGCGCCTTGAGCTCCCAGCAAGCTGAGCAGACACATGAATGCAGGCACAGGAGTCTTATGGGGGGACCTCCACATATTTCTGGAGAGGAGAATTAATCAGCTGTTAAGCTTTGGTTTTTTTGATTGCAATGTGCAATTTAAAAAAAAATTGTGAAAATATTGGTTTTTTAAGCAGAGACTGATCCAGCTCCACAAGTACTGCTGCTGTGCGTTACTGGGAGAGCGTATATTGGTGCTACATAGAGGAGAGGCTACAGGCCCTTTAAGCATCCCTCTCTCCTTGAGTAGGCTTCTAACCCCCAGGAAAATATACACAGGGTCACTTACACCCAGTATCTAAATTAACTCTTGCACATCTGGAACATCCAGCTAAGGTTGGGGTAAAGTCTCTCAACTCCTGCATCCTGATCATATAGAAACGTCTTTCTTCTTAACAAACAGGGCTAGGGGTAGGTGGCCCCCTTCCATCCTTCTGTAACAGCACGAGGCCTCTGTCCTCCTGCACTCCAATGTACATCCTCAAGCAGTGCGGGGGAGGAGAAGGATGGAGGAACCTTGTTTAAAAAGCTGTCTTTAGGGTAAGAAAAGACACAAGTGGGTGTAACCATCTGGAAGGAGCAGGAGGGGGAGGATGAAAGAAGTGGTAGGAAGAACATGTTTTCCTATAGGGCTCGGATGGATGCGTCTGAACCCACAAAGTCTCTAATGAGCCAGGCTCCCTTTTAATTATACAGCAGTCAACTACATCGAGCCCGGATGGTCACGTGGGCTTTGCAGGCCATGACGCACCAGTGGCATTTTTCTGCTTCCTCCTGAAGGTGCACACACCAGGATCAACCTCTCACCAGTTTCATCCAGGTGTGGCCTGTGGAAGAAGCAGCCAATACTTCCATGTTGCCTGCCAAGTTCTGCATGGCCTCTGCCCTCATCCGTGGACATGCTGGAAAGTAAGATGACTGCCTCACTTCATGCTTTTCCTGGGACTACACAGTATGTGGATGCAGTCATATATATGAAGAAAAGCATCAGCTTCACCTTTAACGGGTCTAATTGCCTTTAGTCAATATGAAAAGACATAAGAAACCTGAAATCTCTTGCAACAAGAACCCAAGTGAATTTCTGATGAAAGAATGGTGATACTTTTGGAAGTAGTGAAGATCTTGCCTTTGTCTTGTTTGTTTTCCCAAAAGTGGCATCAGATGCAGGGTGCCTCAGCACAACTATGCTTCTAGGATTCTATGACTATGACCCTATAGCCAGTGATAGTACTAATACATACAGAAACACATTACTCTGCCTGAGAGAAAAGACACCCATTTCACCAAGCATTGGTGATACTATGAAAAGTTTTACTGCCTCTTTCTTGCCCCTAACCTCGGCCTGAATAACCAACGCAGTATCTAATCTGATAATCTAAAGATGCAGTGGGGATGTCTTTTTCTCTAGGTTTCTCTCTCTGTTGGAAAATGGTGAGGCAACGGGGCCCAATCTTACTGTCCCACGGTGAGCAGGCATGGGTGGCACAGAGGTACCCCGATGGGAGAGGCTGGGTCCTCCGGAGGTAGCTGCCTGGAGACGACCTCAGGCATGTAATGACAGACTGTATGAAATTTGTGCAGTTATAATTTGAGTCACCCGCTTGACAGGGATAATGAGGCACAGAAAGGGCCAGTAGTGTGTCTGTAGCAAATTTGCTGCTGAGCCAGCAACAGTCGGGAGCTATCTCAGCTCAAATTAGTCCTCAACCACAAAACCACTCTTCCTAAAAACTCCTCCTGTTGCACCGAATGAGCAGAGCCGATTGTGCTCTCTGGCGGCTGGGGACCCATCACCCTGGCAGTAGGCGGCATCAAGCCTCTCAACGCTCCTGGAGGGCTGATGACCCCATAGGCACAGGGGCCAGCTAGCCTGTGCAGCTGCTGCCTGTCATCCCTCTCCAACGAGGAGGGGAATTCCCTCCCCAGCTGACATCTCGCACCTCTCAACAATGCTGCAGTGAAATCCAGCTCATCATAAACCACTCGTGCAGCACAGCTCCCTTGTCTGCCCCAGCTGCCGTGCTGGGCAAGGACTAGAGGCTGGTGTGGCTCCCCCCCATTACGGCTCCCCAGTGCGAAGCAGCTGCATTTAATTCTGCCTGTGCTTGAGAAGGACACAGCTTTGCATCTAACAGTCCCTGTAGCTAGCTGTTCTGCAGTACTAGGAGGAAGCTGCATGCAAACCATAGGTACTGTGTAGCCCAGGTACATCTACCTCGGGGAGATGCTCAAGTGTGGCCCACCAGTAAGTACAGCACACAACGAATATTTGCTTGTCGGTATTGAGTGCTTTCAAGCATGCCAGTTTAGCTGAAAAAACATCTGTGAACCCTCAGAAAGGATGATCTCAGGCTCCCCAAATCCAGAGGAAAGCTGCCTATTGATGCTGCAGTATACCGCATGTGTTTTTGGGGAGAAACACAGGAGCAAACACTTGCCAAAGGAGAAAAGATTTCTTGCCTCTTCCTTGCTTACATGTGTGGCTGTTCATGCCAAAGGCTGCCCAGGTCTGTGGCCCTTCCCAGGCAGGCCCACTGTCCTGTTTCCCACTGCTTCTGACCAAGAACTGCCCCATGGCCCCTTCTTGCCCACGTGTCTGGATTTCTGTGTGGTGTGGGCAAAAGATGCTGGGCTTCAGGCCTCAGCCCAAGTGGAGGTCGGGGTGTGGCCAACCTGCTCTCCAGCCCAGGCCCTGCCAATGTTTCCAAACCCCAGCACTGAGACCTACTCCTTCGCCCAGAGTGAGCCATGACAGATGGTGTCAGCCTTTACAGTGAGGCTTAACTGAACTGGCAGAAATATGCTGCTGGATGTTTAAAGGACAGGTTGAACATCATTAATTCTGCATGCAGGAGAGTTTCTTTCTTTGGGTTTCCTCTATCCCCACCCTGCTCGTTGCAAACCACAATATTTTGTGAGAGCTGGAGGATGCACAATCCCCAAGCCTCATGAAGATGCAGCACTGAGCACTTCGTTTTTTTGTTTCCCCGAGGTTATCCGCACTTGAGAGCTTCTCCTTGCTACTGAATTTCTTATTTCCCCATGGAGTCTGGCTTGCTATAAACAATGCCTGCATGTTGTTGCTATGAAGGTCCAGCTGGAATCTGCCTACAGTGCAAAAGAAAAAAAAATATATATAAATTCAGAAAGCCACCCACTGACAGGCAATTTGCATTTTTATCTGGGAGATTTTTTTTTTTATAAAAGATTCTTCTAATGAAAGTTCAGTTCCTGAGTTTCTATGGAAACTCATCTGCTTGGTGTGCACGCATAATTTCATAAAGTCAGATCTCAGGAAGATGAGCAATTAGTA